TGCCGTGCGTGGCTCATGGTGCCGCCGCTGCGCGGTGCCTACCGTGCGCGTGTTGCTGCCTCAACTGCTGCCGCGTGGTGTGGGTGCTCATAACATTTTCCTTTTCAATACGATACAATCTTGTTACCTTTTCTCAAATAAATAAAAGGAGTTCAAAAGAAGGAAAGGAGGATAAGTAAATAAGAAAAGTAAATGCAATTTATTAGACAAGATCGAGATGAGGTGGATACTCAAATGCAACATCTTTTTCTTTAAATTAGTGTACATTTTATTTGCTCATGGAGGCATACATATAACATGCATTATACATGAAAACAAGTGAACATACATGTCTAATCAACTATAACTTCTAGACTTCTAGTATTTATCTCTAGTTCCAACACAAATAATGCATAATGAAGGAGCGAGTATTCCAATCTCAAGTTAGATTAGGACACTTAAATATCAAAAAAAATTAAAGCAGAAAACCATAAAGAAGCAGGGGAAATTGATTAATTCTCCTGAGTTTTCAGTTGAACAGTAATTTTCTGAACATCAATCTTCCCTTATAAGTAAGGTTAAACCAAAGAAAGACATGTAAAGGCAGTAGAAAAAAAATCTCCTGGGCTTCATGTGTGACTGTAATTTCCCAAACATTAACCTTCCCATATAAAATAAGGTTAATCCAACAAAAGACATATAAAGGCATTAGAAATAAAACTAACACACCTTGCATGTTTGTTGACGAGGGTCTTGAGAATCCTTTGTGCTCTCGTCGAATGGTGATATTCGGCATGGCTGAAGCCAGACTGGAAGCCAAGCTACATCCTATATTTGCCAGATATTCAATGAATTAAAAGCTGTTTGATATTTCATTCAAATTCCATGCTTAAGCAACGAATTCAGAGTACACAAACGAGTAAAATAAGCTATTCTCAGTGCAACATTATGCAACATACAGAATTACAGATGAACATGAAAAAGCACACGTCTCGAGAATTCATTCAAAAACCAACAACAGTTCAAGAAGATAATCAAATAAAGAAAAAAAATTATGATCCTGACCCCTTTTGCAACAAAAACAACTGGACTCTCGGAGCATGAAAATTTAACGACAAAACCGAGAAAGATAGATATGCAAAAAAAAATTCCACATTTTTTAGCTCAAAGTTGATGATTATATTGATAAAGTTTCCCGATGGTCCAGTTTGCAGAATCTTAGAGAACGTTACTGTAGATGAGGAGGAAACCACGGAGTAATTGCATTCGGTTTGATTGCAAAAAATGGCAAAGACTTACTTACCTCAGAAAACTGAGGAGGGCGAAAACCAGAACTCGCCATTGATAGAACGATGCGAGCTCTGCTCCTCTAGAGACGAGAGGGGAGAAATTTGATAAGAAGATGCTTGAAGACTGCCATTGCCCGAGAGACATAGATTAGAGAGGAACTTTGGCGCCAAAAAGACTTGGGTCACTCTCTCTCCATTTGGACCGTTTTAGTCCGGGTTTCCGGAGAGGATTGGGGTTAGGGTTGGAAAAAAATACAAATATTATTGCCGGATTGAGTAGATGTGATCTTGTGACAATTGTGTTGGGGTTTCTTTTGGGAAAAGTAAACCGCATTCATCTCAGAAATCTGAAATTACAGCTTCCTCCTAGTCTATTAATAGCCCTTATAAATCACATCCAGGCCATGGATTTGGCACCGATCCAAGGTCAGCATTCATCCCACCTGTACGGTGGGGTTCAGATTTATGGGGTGAACTGAACTATAAAACCCTTTTTTTTTAGTTCAAGGTTTAATTTAGGGCTGTCAATGGGTCGGGTCCAACTCCACAGACCCGCCAGACCCTAACCGATTGGATCGGTTCTAGGTCCTGATATAGGGTACCAATTATCATCGGTTCAAAACCGATTCCACCTAGTCTCGAACCGATTCAAACCCAACCTATATATATTAAACATAAATATTTTTTTTATTTATTACAATTGCGTCTGCAATCCCAAGAATCAATCAATTCGGTTTTGGGTCCAAAAATTAAATGCCCTATCGGATCTGGTTCCAAGTCCGAGTTCTCAACATTTCATGTTGGGCGATTCTGATTCCAATTGGTTCCAACCCAGACCTGACTCATTGACAGTCCTATTTAATGCGTCTCCTTTTGATTACATTAGGGAAAATAGTGGGAATGTTATTTTCCAACGTTTGGCTTGTGGGAAATAATTGACAAAAAATAGTAGAATAGGCACAATAAGGTACATAAAACGATGTCACATGCATCCTTTAACACCCAGGGTGCTACTCACGAATAGGAAATTGCCACGTTAATTTTAATTTTTAAAACCCAACTTAATGGAAAGGAATTCGAATCAGCCCCTCACAAAACTGTCCATACAACGTCCCACAGCACATCCCTACCATGTATTAAGAACATCTCCTAATGATATATCCGGAATGATGATATCATCATTGAGAAATACTCCCAATACACGGCAGGGATGTACTGTAGAACATTATAGGGGGCAGTTTTGTGGGAGGCTGATTCGGTTTCAATGGAAAGTCCCTAAGTTAACAGAGCTCATATCTGTCCCCTAAGGAAATTTTCTGTCCCATACAATCCTATTCGAACACATCACCTTCTTCAAATTAATTTGAAACTGACGGACTTTTGGTTCTAATAGCAGATGAACGCCAAAATTTTATCCAAAACAATTAACCCGAGCCTACCTCTCCTTTCCACTGCTCTTCCCCTCCCTCCCTACCGCCCCTTCACCCTCACAAACTTCATAGTGTGGTGTTGACTACAAAATGCTTAAGAGAATGAGCAAGTGTAACATGCACCAAAGGCTGCGTTTGGTTGTAGTTCAATTTTATTTGCACTAGTACAAATGCTTGGGAGTGCAAATGAAAATAATGCAACTTTTGGTTTAATTTTGTTTTGGGTTTTACTTTATTTTGCTTCAAGTCTTATTTTATTTCATTTGTGTTGCAATCAAACAAAATAAGTAAATTTTAAAATAAAAATAAATCATAACTTGTATTGAAATCATTTGCACTATCATAATTTTGCATCAATGCAAATAAATTTGTATTACAACCAAACACAGGCAAAAGAACAAAAAGTATTACAAAATCTCCCCCCACTTCAAACTGTTTTCATGGTATAATGAGTGGTTCACATAGGCAGGATTTAAAGATATTCAACTAGTCCAAAATGGTACCATGGGGTCTGTTAGCATGGCTTGTTCATGGGATGCTCTGTGACAAAACCATGTTCATTCTTGATGACTCTCCCTTCAAATTGGTCCATTTTGGTAGTTGGGATTGGCATTAAGATTTCATATTAGTGTTAGCATTCACTTAGAAGCTATTGATCAATTAGATTGAATCTTTAGGTTTAGATATTTCATAAATACTAAATGAACTTTCACAAAGTTATAAAGTGCCAAATCTAACGGTGCCCATATCAAAGTTAGAGAAGATGATATTTGAAATAAAGGTGATGAACCCTGCTATATAACGAAAAGAACATTTGGTGCACCTTAAATAATGCTAAATCAATAGTAAGCATGACTTTCTAATGGACTCGAAGGACTGTGTTGCGTCAATGCTTGTGTACGTGTGTCTATCTTGGTTTTGTATGGTATTTGGATTTCCTTCTTTCAAAAAGGTGTTCATGATCATCTAAATTTGGAATGGAATTTGATATTTAGTGATGCTCATGCATAATTTGAGATAACTTGAGTTAACTCAGGATGGTTTGTCAAAGAAAGGGGAGAGAGAGCAGGTTGGCATTCAGTGGTGGTGCTAGTTAGCGGTGATAGTGTTAAGTTGAGAAGATGACCCATAATAATTGTGAGGAAACTATAAAAAAACGTTGGGATGGAGGTAACAGATCAATCAACTAGAAATGCAGGAAACTAAGGGGGATTCTCTGCAAATGAAACAAAAATGAGTTTGGCAAGGTTCAAAACCAAATTGAGGAAGAAAACCAAGTTCTTGCAAAGGAGAAAGAAAAGAAAGGCTCTGACTTTAACTTTCTAGCTATGAAAGTAGCGGAAAAGAATTTGGACCTTTTGATTAGGAGGGAGGAAATAATGTTGGCGCAAAAATATAGAGTAAACTAGGTGACTTATGGAAATCAAAATACAAGATTCTTCCACAATACAACTATCAGGATGAGGGCTAGAAATAGAGTGTTGAAGCTGAAAAATAATCAAGGGGAATGGATGGAGGGAGTTGATCACATTAAAAAAATCTTCACCGATCATTTTGAAGAAATTTTCACTACTTCCAATCCTACAGAGATAGACATAGCACTCAATAACATCCATCCTATGATTTCAAATGAAGACAACGATGATTTACAAAAGGAAATCATAGAAGAAGAGATTCACCAAGCCCTCTTCCAAATGGCACCCAAAAAAACTCCAAGGCCAGATGGTTTCCCTAATATCTTTTATAAAAAATATTGGGGTATAGTTAAAGATGATATTATGAAAGAGGTTATGAGTTTTCTCAAAGATTGTTTTCTAATTTATGACCTCAATTCAACTTTTATAACCCTAACCCCAAAGACAAAGAAACCCTAAATCAACATCTCAATTTCACCCCATAAGTCTGTGAAACACTGTTTGCAAGACCATAGCTAAAATATTGGCAAACAAACTCAAACGGAAGCTTGATAAGATTATTTCTAAGAACCAGAATTCTTTCATTCTGGGGAGTGTCATTACTGATAACATCCTTCTTGCCCATAAGGTGTTGCATTACATGAAGCACTCAAGGTCAAAAAAAGGTTGGATTGCTATCAAATTGGATATCAATAAGTCTTATTATAGAGTGGATTGGAATTTCCTACAAAATCCATTGAAAAGATGGGGTTTGGCTCTACTTGGGTATGATGAAATCTAGTGCCCCAGACTGAAACCTCATGATTTGATGGAGGCCACTGAAACCTGGAGGTTCACACTGAAACCTCATGATTTGATGGAGGCCACTGAAACCTCCAAGGAGTATGATGAAATCTAGTGCCCCAGACTTCATTGCTCTATCCCTGGAGTAATTGGGGGAGGAATCATTGAGGTTTGCCTCTCCTTATGCTTCTCACGAACATTCTATTATCTTGTTCTCTTTGCTGATGTGTTTGGAGTCTGCTTGGTTCTATATTACTATGTTCTGTGGAACAATTCACACATTTTCATTGTATAAGGTCTAAGGGACTTGCTAGATTTACCACAATGATGCCCCACGTAGGAATTCTCCCATGTCAAGATTGAACTAGTAAAACAACTATAACTTCTACGATCATCCTTCTCTCTCTCTCTCTCTCTCTCTCTCACACACACACACGCATTCTTGCTTGCATGCTGTTGAGATGACCCATGTGTAGCTATGTCATACGTAGATCACTAATAAAATAAAAGAGTGGATTGTTTGAATTATTCTTGATTCCTTCTTAGACAAATATATGCATGCGCGCACATTTATTTGCTTTGTATTAACAGTCTTATGTAGTCCATGCTTTAAATTTTTAATTAACAGTAAAGTTGTCCATAAAGAAGGTCCATTTTGAACAAGTATTAAGGTCTTTTAGGCCAAACTTTTTCACGAATGGTTTAGACTCCTTCACTAAATACCCAATTAGTGGATCTTCTTCCATATTTTCCCATGCCAATTAGAACTCAAGGTTCTCATTTGGCAGGCCATAATGGTTAAATATAGAGAGCCTAAATTGTGGCATGTTGTACATCTGAAAGAGTTTTCCTATGAAGAGACAAGGGTATTGGAAGATTATAAAGAGTTCACAATAGCATTTCTGTAAATGTGAGAGTTGTTTGGAAGTGGTATTGACCAATTCATGACACTGTCCAATCTTTGGATTTTTTCTAAGTTGTTTTCTAAAATCTGATGGTTGTTTTTACTTCATAAAGAATATGGTACATCGAATGTTTTCTCGTCTACACTTTAACATTGGCAGGTCAACAGGTTGTTGGTTATGCTGAAGATGGGTTCACTCAATATTAGTCCTAGCTATATAGGTTCTTGGGAGGGGTAGACATGATATTGGATAAGGACCTATCCTTAGTCATAGGAGTACTTCAAGTACATGACAGTACACTGGGATCATACTTTTCTGCTTTTCATTCTTATTGCTTTTTATTTTCTATTTAATTTTTGAACTCTGGACTCAATAGATGACATCTATATACTTTTCCCATTTACACTTTGTTCCAATATCCTTCCAGCAAAAGAAATTAATTAAAGAAAATGTAGACAATTAAGTTTACTTTCATCTTCCAAATAAGCTCTACATGACTGTACCTGGTATTAGTTTCATGACCATTCTTTTCTCCCAATCTAGTTGTGAATATGTAATTCCATCTTTAAGTATAGTGGTGTTAATGGGTTGAACCCAAGCTTGGTCCATGCATACACAGACCTAGAATCCATTATATGTGCCAAATCCAAGGCTATGTACAGGTGTGATACAGGGGTTGCAAATCTGATCTGCAATCCAGTTTAGATTGGTGTGTGAAAATTGACAACTTGTAGAAAGAAACTAAAATGTAAACCTCGTTGTATATGTGTAGTCAGAAACAAAAGGAAAAAAATG